TCTGAAACGAGGATCTATATCGATCCGGATCCCTTATATACGAAAATTTAACATATGGTAATTCACATGTAAAAATGGCTTTTCCCATGTGAAATGTTCCAATTGCGCATATTAAGAAATAATTTCACATGTGAAATCAATTTTCACATCATTATGATCCTTTAATTTCACATCAGCATTTTCACCTTACCTGCATGCGACATATGTTCCAATTCCACAGACAAGTTCACATGGGAGATTATATGTAAATTTTCCTTAATTAGTTGTATGTTCAAACAATGGGAACTGGGAATTGTTTGATATGAAACAACTTCACCTCACTTGCGGGCAAGAGAATGAAGGTTTTCTCTCAATTCGACTGGTCAAAACACCGTTTTTCTTTTCATCTAAACCAACATTGCTTCCTTAATCTTGTACCAATAAGCGGACTGGAACTTACGGCTTAATTAACTTTCATGCGCTTTTCAGAGGGCGTATCAGCTGAGTGAACTATAAATTATAATAATTATGTAGTGATACGTATCTCAGATATCGTACAGATTGTCTAGATCTTTGTTTGAAACATTTTATTTGTTATACGATTTATTTCTGTCTGTATAAGAACATAGTATTCGGCTATATAATATATTAATTGATAGTTTCAATTATTAAAAGTTTTGAAATTCAATTTAGTAATGAAAGTTTTCTCCATCGCTGCCGTTTCAGTATAACCAGTACAAACCGACCACAAAAAGCTATTGGACTCATGTAGTGTATTCCTCAAAGAATGGCAAAAATTTTCTTGTTCGTAATTGAGTCGTAAAGAAATCTTTTGTATGTCCAAATTGGACATACAAAAGATTTCTTTGCCACTCAATTACGAACTAGAAAATTTTTGCCATTCTTTGAGGAATACACTACATGAATATTTCATTGAATACTGAAAAGATCAGATTCAACAAGGTAGAGACAATGGTAAACTCATTGGTTGAGACCTTTCAAACAAATGAAAATTACTTTTAGCTTGCAAATGTACTGTAGCTATCGTGATTCGCAATTGCCAAAATCGGCAGGCCATTGTGAAAAAGTTAAGAATATCAGCTCAATAGATTGCCGTTGATTCTCGTCGAGGCAATGTTTCATATACCAATGGTATAAACATTGTGATGACGGAATGGGGACGATATGTCCTGTTGAAACCGACATATACGAAGCTCACTAATCCTGCAGTTAATTTTATCAATAATCTGCGAATAATTTGAAAGACAAAAGGATTATAATTATAAATAGTTATGATGTTCTGACAATTTCTGAAACTATAGTTTGAAGTAGGTTATCATTACTATTTAGCCTATTCTTATAACGTAGCTACTTGTGCGATTTTTATGTATGTCCAGTATTTATATGTATAGCAATACTGTATGGTGTTTGTGTCGATTAATTGAAATGATATATTATATTATGATTATTATTATAAATTCCTTGTATCAATACACTTATAAACATGAGATGACTTCATGCAGCACTCAGCAACAGCCTTAACTTGAGACTATACATACCCTTGTCATCTTGAAAGATATACCCTTGAGGGCAGCTCTCTTTGCAATAAGTTATTCTTTATGATGTTTGTGATGTTAGTCTGAGTGTGCATCCACACCGGGCAAGCTAACTTTTCAGCTTTCCCGGTGTGGATGCACACTCAGAGTAACATCACAAACATCATATTCACCTGAGTACTTAACACCACACACACAAAAATAAAGTTATTCTTTAATGATCATCACAATCAATAGTTTTGTACATTTTTATCCATGTTTATACATTTTATACATTATATGGTGTATGGTTTCAGAAAATTGGAATAGGAATAGAACTGTTTTATGTATTCATTTAGTATTCATATCATTATTTTCTCAATTTCTATACTGGATAATGACTGCCGCGAATATAATGTCGACATCAGCTATAAGTATAAATGGTGCATATAATCTACTGCAGAGCATGCACGATAGCATCAAGTTTATAGCATTGATACAGTTGTATTTTATTTCACATTTCCCAACTATTTTTTTACGTTTCAAGAGGCATTTAATTCAAATGGTGCCGATAACTGTATAAACTAGAAAATAAAACTAAAGCAAATTAATCCGCCTCAGTATTATTTACCTGCATAAGGGGTTAAAAAATCGCTCGCAAAATAAAAAGTGATTATATGCTAATTATATCATTGACTGTTGATGCATGCAAAGGTCATTAACAGGGTTGTCCAATTTACAAACTATTTCTGTTTGTGAATTTTAAGATGCAAGGCCTGTACATGACGAACGAATTTATTGCGTAGCAAAAATATTTAATTATGATATATTTTAAAAGCCTAGCTAAGTGGAATTCACTGGTTGAAATTATTCACAAAGTCTTAACAAGGAATTCAAAGTTACACACTAGATATGGTTCTCTTCAGGAGTGTAGGCACGGGGAGGAGAATGGGCGTGTCCGAACCACTCCCCCACTTTTCTTCAGGACTTTTGTGATTCCTGTCCAAGACTGAGAGAAACTGGAGGGGAGCTTAACTTGGTAATGCTTTCATTATTTCATCATATCTATGACATTGCACAGAAATAATTTCCTGGAGACCATGGCCCTGGATGGCCGGACTCGCCAGTTGTTCTGCAATCGACGATTAGGATCCCTCCCCACGCGTTTGGGGCTGGGCTACACCCCTGGTTCTCTCAACCGACAAACATGTAAATAATAGACATGACTATTTATTGTTACAGTTTATTTTAAAAGTTCCGAGTGGATTTAACTCGACGAAAGCAAGTTAAGGTGAAAAGAAACAAAGCCGCACTTCAATCGGCTTGGCAAACCGGCCACTTATCCATAACTAAATCGCATTTAATGAAGGTGCTTATATGCAACGAAATTTCACACTATTATTTATGACTGCATTGTAAAAAAAATCAAAATGACTAATAAGATACTTTGCCAAATCAATTTACCTTGCTCTCTTCTTTTTTGAGAAGATATTTTAGAATTTGTTTTAGAAGTAATACAGGCTTTGCAACCCGTAAGTTGAAATACGCCCGTTATTTACAATCGAGATATATATAGATAAATACAATGCTAAAATTAAATACAATATCTATTAAGAATATAATGTATGCCTTGTCAATGTTCGTTATGTAGTTCGTTATGCATGATGGTATAAAAGATTTTCTAAAACGTTCGGTCCTACATTTAAAGACTCTGTCAAGTCCATTCTGCTCATGCGCGTGTTTTGTTTACATTGTTTGTTTCAAACAATAGATAATTTAATTAAAATTTGATCAAAGGACATGTCTCCCTAACCCTAACCCTAAAAATTGAACATAAGGTATAGGAAGGTCAAACACTGCAAAAGCGTCGCTGTATGAAAGGGTTGGATAAATTATTTCGAGAGTTCTAGCTTGATAGTATTCTTTCGATATCTTTCGATGCTATAGTGTCACAGTTGAGCACAGTACTCCAAAAATGGTCTCATGTATACGGTTAATAATGGTCTAGCGTCAGCACCAGCTCGTTTCAAAATTCGTTACATATAATGTCGTTTTGAGGACTTTTTCACAATATAAGTTACGTGTCCGTTTCACTTCAGGTCGTCACTGAATATCACACCAAGTAATTTCGCTGATTTACCAAGTCTATAGGTTGCCTATCCACAGTAAACGGTGGAAAATGAGGCTTGAATTTAAAAAATAGACTGGGATCTCCTTCCACTTCCGAGGGTTAAATGACATATTAATATTTATACAATATTTATGTCTAAAAATATGATATGCTGATTAACTTCTCTGTTATACCAAATTGCATGTTTTCTGAGAAAAAAAACTATCATAACGATGTAGGTAATTGAATTATTTTTGTCGACGTACATATATTGATACCCTGGTTCCAGAGGTTTAAAATAAACCTCTGGTTGAAAGCGGCAATTGATTCATCGAGCCGCGCCAATCAGTTTGAATCAGATCGTGACTCTGTCTCCTGATTGGATGATTGTATTAAAGCTTTCTGATTGATTCAAATAAAACATCTATAACCAATCCGAGAGCTTTGATACAATCATCCAATCATGATACAATCATCCAATCCTAATTCAAACTGATTGGCGCGGCTCGATGAATCAATCGCCGCTTTCAACCAGAGGTTTATTTTAAACCTGTGGAACCAGGGTAATATATTGAAGGCTTGACATATAATCCGGCCGAGCATTTCACGACGTCATCGATCTCATAAAATACCACAAACAAAGAAAACCTGTCAATCAAGTTTCTCAACCAATTAAAAATATTCATCTAGCAGCCACAAAGAAAAAGCTATTTTGCACGAGTAGATTATTAATATCTGCAATTATAAGTCATTATTCAAGATAATTAGGTTAAGAAAAGGTACCTAAGCTCAACACCGTGAGATATTTTCAAACATTCATTGCTAAAGAACCAAATTCGTCGAGTCTGATCTAAATTTCAGTTACACTGAAATACGATATACCGAGACACTTTATATGTAAAAACGAGGCTAAAATATAAAGGTAGAGTTAATGTTCGTGGGCATAGAATATGTTTTTGGCTCGGCTTAAGCTCGATAATTGTTACATAATAACTCTTTTTCATCAGACGTTTTTGCACAATAGACTATATTCAACATTCCTTCAAATACCATCATTAGTGTAAAGTTCAAAGTTCCATGCAGGTTTAAAAAATTTGCTAATTATAAACATCATAATTTCGAAAGTGACTTATTTATATCTTATCTTTTAATGATCGATCGAGATCCATTTAATACAATTGTGGACGTGTAGGCGTCATTAGTATTAATGATGCTTATCTCCTTAAATTATCCCCATTATATTAATTAACCTTGAATAGATGAATCTTAAAACTTAAATGGCGGAACTATCTGAATGGCGGATTTTCATTTACGAAACACAAACAGTGCTCAATACCATATAGATAGAGCGTAATATAGTTTTTCGTTTTACCTCAAAAAACCACAACAGTCTGTTTCATCCGTATAGGAATCATCAGGTGGTCGGATGAAACAGACTGTTGTGGTTTTTTGAGGTAAAACGAAAAACTATATTACGCTCTATCTATATGGTATTGAGCACTGTTTGTGTTATATAAATATATATAAATATATATATATATATATATATATATATATATATATATATATATATATATATATATATATATATATATATATATATATATATATATATATATATATATATATATATATATATATATATATATATATATATATTTTTTATATATATGAGAGATATAT